CCAAAAATGTTCACAAACAATAAAAAGCATTGAAATGTTCTAAATATAGACTTTGGAAATGCAATCAATCAGACTGAGCTAATAAAACTTTGTTTTGAATCTCAAAATTGATAGGTTGAATATTTGATCAAAAGTGAAATGAAAAATATTTGCTTTAAAGAATCCTGATATTTCTCAATCACCAGGATGCCAGTTATGACGAAGAGTGTTGAACGTCGTCTAGTTGGAAACTATTGTTGAAATACCCTGGGCGCAGAATCTAGTTATAAACTACGACGCAGTAGGAAGACACATTGCCTTAACCCATCAGTTTTATGACGTGCACATCCGCGTGGGACTATATCTTTACAGCGGGGATTTCAAGTTTTTGTCAGTGCAGACATAGAAAGTTGCGGTTCTCATATGCGCGCGTTTTTTAATATTTTCATTTGAAACTTGCAGGAATGGTGCTTTGAATCTAGCTCTCTACTCTTTGAAAACGTCATGTATAATCAATACAGTTGAACTATTTATTTTTTGTCGTGAAAATATTATTTTTTTAGTTTATTTTTATTTTACAACTTTTCGGTAAAAAATGTAACAAATTTTTATTTCTTGTCATATTTATCCGATATTTTGTCATCATGAAATTCGAGATTCCTTTTAATGATGGTGCAAATTTCATAACAATTGATGAATTTTTATTATCAGTGTTATGTTTTCCAAAAACGGTGTACCTCTGTGCATGTTTCTTTAATTGACGGCACATTTGCCTTTAATTGGGCGAACGTACAGGTCCCGGCGCAATAAGCTTTATTTGATTTAATACACTCAAAAATAAAGTTTGCTATCAAATCGGAATGTTCATAAAACATAAACCTTGCCTTTGTTTTCCCAATTCTAAAAGCAGGCCAAATAAACTATGATAATCGTTTGACTCTCGAGACTACAGAGCTTGAACTTGAACATAATAAAATCGAAGTTACCTATAGTTACCCTTGTAAAGTTAATAACATGTTTAACGGCCTGCTGAGTGAATGTATCTAATCAAATTTGTGACATACCCATAAGATCGTAGATCACAATTCTAAGTTTAAAATGTAATTTTGATTCGTAAGAAGTATTTCTGTTTTAAACTTACCTTTGCTGTCTGAAAAAGATCAATATTCATAGACTGGGATGTTGAAACCCATATTTCCTTTGAATGACCTGCATTTGTACTACGAAATGATCCTGTGGAGAATTGTTGATGAATTCCAAACAGCTAGTTCTAGCCAATCTACTAGTATAAGCTTACTTTCTAAAAGTATTTCAATGTTAAAAATATCTATTCAAATGTTTCATTTTTAAAATGATCTTGGCTTCCCTTAACTTATATGTGTGACTTAATGAAGAATATATGCTGTTTACCACATCAAACTTAAGACGTAAACTTGGCAATTACTAGATACATGTTATAACGCGATTTTCTCTCATTTTCTACAAAAATGGTATGTTTTCGAACGGTCACTTATGTTAATCTATGACCGTGGTATGATTGAAAATGAAAGAACTGAACCAAGTATTGTCGACTTGTTTGAATTATAAGATTTATTTTGATTGATTTAATCTCTTCTTGAATTTAAAACTTTTGTCCGAATTACATCTGCTATGGAATTAAAGTTCAAATATACCTCAGAATTGCTTATTGAATTAACCTAGCAATTAATTTGAAAATAATTCTTTACATAGGCTATATATCATAGATCATAGATATGTAAAAAATAAAAATGTGTTTTGAAAGATGAAATGATATCAAACGTTTTCGCACACGTGCCATTTCCACTTTCAGCCAACTTAAAGCACGAAATCCCGTGTGACGTAATATAACGAAAATGCGCAGATAATTGATATTTTTATTTTAATTCAACTCACATTGACCGTTCAGTTATGAACGTGTTTAAAGTTCTCATGTTAAAATAAATAAATATGTGGAAAGGCAATGGTTTAAAGCTTATGAAAATGTCAAAATCATAATTCAGTTTTTAAAATAAGATATTGACATGCATTCACGCACATGTGACATTATCTCTTTTTGTGCGATTCAAACATAATAAAAATCTCATTACAGTTGTACATAAGAACCAATCTTAGCCATGCCTTTCTAATAGAAGGAACTAAATTTGAATCAAAAAATAATTCTGTGTAAAGATGATTCCCCATAGATATAATGAATGTTAAAAATGTCAAATAATTTATCAAAAATTAAATACTCACACGCTTTTAAGCACACATGACCTTTTCCAGTTTTGCTCATTTAATTTACCTTGAAAACCAAGGAGACCGAACGCAATTTCTAAATACAACCTTGATACGTGTACCAGGTCTATAATTGCATTTTCTCATGGAAGGAACCAAGCGAAAATTATAAAAATAATTCTGCGTAGAGGTGATGCTTTACAAATAATACTAATGTCAAAAAATTGATTCATTTCTTCAAAATTAAATACTGACACGCATTTACGCACACATGACCTTTTCCAGTTTTTTTCATTTACCTTGAAAACCAATGAGACTGGACGCAATTGCCAAATACTTCTTTGATACGCCTGCCAGGTCTATAATTGCATTTTCTCATGGAAGGAATCAAGCAAAAATTATAAAAATAATTCTATGTTAAGGTGATGCTTCACAAATAATATTAATGTCAAAAAATTAATTCATTTATTCAAAATTAAATACTGACACGCATTTACGCACACATGACCTTTTCCAGTTTTGCTTATTTCATTTACCTTGAAAACCAAGGAGACCGAACGCAATTTCTAAATACAACCTTGATACGTGTACCAGGTCTATAATTGCATTTTCTCATGGAAGGAACCAAGCAAAAATTATAAAAATAATTCTGCGTAGAGGTGATGCTTTACAAATAATACTAATGTCAAAAAATTAATTCATTTCTTCAAAATTAAATACTGGCACGCATTTACGCACACATGACCTTTTCCAGTTTTGCTTATTTCATTTACCTTGAAAACCAATGAGACTGGACGCAATTGCCAAATACTTCTTTGATACGCGTGCCAGGTCTATAATTGCATTTTCTCGTGGAAGGAATCAAGCAAAAATTATAAAAATAATTCTATGTTAAGGTGATGCTTCACAAATAATATTAATGTCAAAACTTTAATTCAATTCTTCAAATCCAAATACTGACACGCTTTTGCGCACACGTGACCTTTTCTTTTGCTCATTTTATCTATCCTAAAAATCAGTGGGCCTAAATACATTGTCCGATACTTCTTTAATATGTGTCAGGTCTAAAATTGCAGTTTATCATGAAAGAAATCGAACAATTATCATAAAAATAATTATGTGTAAAGGTGATGTTCTTCAGATTATAATGTTTAAACATCAAAATTGTAATTCATCTATTGAAAGTTAAATATCCACATGCTTTTAGGCACACATAACCTTTTCCCTTTTCGTTCATTTTACCTATCTTTAAAATCAATGAGCCTGAGCTCATTGCTAAATACTTTTTGATACGAGTCAGCTCCAGGTCTAAAATTGCATTTCATCATGGAACAAATCGAGCAATCATTATGAAAATAATTCTGTGTAAAGGTGATGTTCCAAAGACAATATATATATCAATTTGATAATTCAGTTACTCAAAATGAAATATCCACATGATTTTACGCACACATGATAATTTCCTGAATGACGCTACTTTTTGGATTCAACCATGCATATACGTCGTAAAATACACATTTCTACCGAAATTATGCCCAGCCGTTTTCGTAGAAAATGTAACAAATGAAGGCATTTTATCGGAACTGATTGATATTTGGTTCTTATAGAATATCGTATTTACTTTAACTTTTAAGCGATTCAGATATTTAAAAAAATTATGTTTAATCAATGTTAATTTCGCACGAATATAGGGTACAAAATGAGTGAAAGTCTCACGTGTTTGATTGCATTTTACTCCCATTTATGTGCATTTTTCTAATATTAAAATGAGATAGTTGGAAAGAAGAGATCAGTAGAATTCTATCCGTCACTTTCATTTTCAAATGTTTAAATGTTTCCCGTTTCATCGGACCTCATAAAGATGGTAGCCAACGGACCAGAAACAAGTAGTGCGATGACGTCATATATCGCTACACCACTTTGATATAAAGTTTGGTAAACAACAATGGGTTTTTTCAATGTGTCGTCCTACTGACGAAGCTCTCTTTTAAGAAGCGAAGTCGAAAATACGCAAAGGGAATATATAGTTAAAACGGCACAAGCTTATAATATTTGATCTCTTTCAGCTTTTAGAAAAGTTCATACTAGTTCTAGCAACTGTTTCTTGAGCCAGAATACTGATATATGAATAAACAAAATATAAGAAGCATTAGACCCCATCCATCTCTATGTTTATGTAACTAATATTAGAAGATCATATCTCTAAGAAGGAAATGTATTTTTGTTTTTATTTTCTGCCTTTTCCATTAATTTTTCCTAAATCTTATTTTTTGGCATTGAGATTGATTACAAATGTGTATTACAGTTGCTAGAAATGCATCTACACGTTTTATATGTCCATATTTGTAATTCATTACAATAAGGGACATGATCTGATGAATACAAGTTGTAAATTATCTACATTAAAATAATTCTACTTAAGATATTTCTACTTGTAATTTGAACATTTTCACCAACAATACAATAAACTTATCATGTCCTACAGTCGCAATCAAATCTAAATGAGTCTAAGCAACCAAACGTTTGCTTTTTGGCTTTATTTTGTGTTAGTTTGTCCAGTTGTACACAAAGGGAAGCTCTAGGAAGCTATAGGAAGTGAAATAAGACCCTTTAAGAAGTTAGCTTTGACTTAATGGGACCTTTATGACCTTCACTTATAGCTTTTGAATATTATCCAAAACAATTAAACATTCACGTTTTGCAATTGGCTCACGACTTTTTATTAAATCTTAAATGCATATTTACATCCAATGAAAATAATTTTAGCTCATTCACGGAAGTGTTTTTGAATTATTCACTCTAGTTTCCTTAATAAAGAAATGTAACGTTTTGGTGGCATACTGCATAACGTCTTCAGACCGCAGAACGAATCTATTGCAAACCTGAAAATATATGTAAGTTAGTTCATGTATTGTTTTTGATCAATGATAACCATTTGTAGTAAATAAACAATGCACAGAAGAAATAGTTCTTTTCATTAAAAAACTCTAATGAAAAACAACAAATGAAAGCTAATGAGTTGCTATGCGTGGGATGCATATTTGCTTAAAAATCTAATATGTTATTTTAGATTTGTTATCGTTTTTATTAAAATTCTCAAAGTTAATCTTTTAAAAGAGACGAATCCTCGACTACTCTTCAAATATCCTGCCACTCTTTAATGTGACTGGAGACCAGTTAAGGTGTGTTCAGAATCTCACTTACACATTTTGAAATAATTATTATTGGGAGACATGAAAAATTTCTAGCAATGTTTAATCTGAGAAACGTATATTTTGCAGATCTTGGTAGAAAGCCAGTGATTATGATAACGTTGAAGTACATTGCTACTTGCACCTACCTGGTGGTGATACTAGGAACGGTGATATCACTAGCTTTCGCCAGATATGAATACCCTGATCAGCCATCTATTGACTTTACAATGGAAGTGCTCAATGCAAAATGCAAGGTGGGATGCAGTGTCTGCAGCAATTTGCGATACATTTGCAGAGGGCTGAATGTTACAACAATTCCACAGACCTTCCCCAAGACTTTGCAATACCTCGAGTTGGGCACTACAAAAAAGGGCCCGTTGCATATACAAGATGGAGCATTCAGAAGGTACGTATTATCCAAAAAAACAAAGGTATAAAAGCTGCAGAAATATCAAGAATTCTACAGAGTTCTATTTGAAAAGATGAATTCTATATTGACAGGAGATAGAAACGCGTCCAGTATTTTAGTCTGGTACAACTGGAAATACTGGACGCAGACTTCCATTTTTGATCCAGAGAGAGGTAGGTGTAACTTTACTCGGTAGCCTGTGATCGTTTTACAGTGTGTCCTTACCTAAAAACAGGCTCATCAGATTCCCAGTACATTGGGGAACATCCAATTTTTACAAAATGACAGCTATCCATCTAGTTTTTCTGTAATGTGGGGTTAAGCAAAGAAATATTTTGATTTTTTTCAGGAAATACACGAATCGAGTTATATTTCTTTTTATTTACCACTTCATTGACAAGATATAAAAATGTGCTGGACGCAAGCCTGTTAATACCGGATGTTCAGTGCCTTTATTTCCTCCACATAGGTGAAGATTTAAACATTACATATAATTAATATAAACAATTCACATTAACAGGTTAACGTCATTTTTCTATTTTCGACCATTTCAAAGCTAAAATTTCCCGACTGGAAGCTGTATCTTGTCAATAAAATGGTAAATAAAAAGAAATCTGACTCGATTCGTGTATATGAGATATTGATGTATTGGGTCTTTTTGAATATTTTATAAAAAATAATGTTTACATTTTTGTCCGCTGTGACGGAGCAGTTTCACAGTTCACATTTGCAACTGCTCCGTCATAGCGGACAAACAAATTAAACATTATTTCTTATAAAATAATTCAAAATAACCAATGCATCAACATCACATTAATACCTTCATAGTTATGCTGAAAACATATGTAAATTTTATCGTGTCATTATATCGTTCCATTAAAAAGTTAAACAAGAAATCGTTCATTTTGGTATAACGAAACATATGAATAAATTGTGTGGTTTTCTTAGTGTTTTTATAAAAAATAACATGCTCCGTCACAGCGGACAAATCTTTCGTTACTAGCCTGTGTCTACCCCCTGATTGAAATCAATTGTTTTATTGCATGATATTTATTGGTAAAACACCATGCTCATTACCAATTTATACATTAACACCTCGTGAATAAAGTGGCTAATTACTTTCCTCATTTTTATATATTTTTTTTATTGCAAACCTATTTTTGTAGTATCTTATTATGATCATAGGATAAATATTTCTGTGTTTGTTCCTTGGAGCTGGTAACACTGGAACCACAAATGTGATGTCTACCAGCGTATAATGAATGATTCCGATCATTTTGATGAATAATATATATATGTTACTCCAATGCTGCCTAGTTTATTTGATTTTGGAATACATTTCTCTGTATTATGGCATTTTTATTGATTTTATTTTGTTCAATTTGAGACACAGTTGTAGTATTCTTAGATTTCACCTTCATTTTGTCGAGGCATGTTTTCGTGACAAATTATTTTCAAATATGCAAGTCAAGAAATAAGTTTTGTCATATTAACTAAAGGAAGCAAGCCAAATTGACACAAATGAAAATGTCATTCCATAAAAGCATATATGGCAAATAAATCACTGTAGGTCATACTATTTGAAATACAACCTGATATGTATCAATAAAAATACACAATTCAAAGGACTTGAAAAAGTTGTGTTACAACATTTTCTATTCGATGATACTAGTCTAGATGTTTTTATTTTTTATTTTTACAGGTACCAAAATTTAATATATCTGGATATAAGTGAAAATCATATCACAAAGATTACAAATCATTCATTTGACGGACTTGATCAGCTGGCATATTTAAAGAAATCACCTGCGAAGTGGGTACAGTATTTAGATTTTATTGAGAAATCTACGCTCTTCACAAACTTTGCATTTCATGGACTGACTCCGCTGAAACGTTTAAAATATTTAGATTTTAGAGGGAATGGTCGCGTTGGATTGGATAGAATGGTACATAGGTTATACACCTGGAAAAGGCATTGTTCAAATTGTACTCTCGATTATTTAGATTTATCATTCACTAATAATGTAGACAGTAATAATCATGAAATTCGAAGTTATACTCTTAAAAGAAAAGAAATGAAAGTCTTCAAGAAATTGCAGGTCAAAGTATTAAAACTAGATGGAAACCATATAACTGTGATTGAAAAGGACTTTGGTATTTTGTTATCATCAGTAGAATACCTTTCTTTAAAAAGAAATGACATCATGCACTTACTTCAATTCACATACTTCGAGATGAATTGGCTGTTCCTCTATAATCTGAAAGTTTTTGATATTGGTAGTAATGCTCATTTACCCAAACATTGGCCAGCAAGGACAGTTGCAAATTGTCACTGTCTCCCTTCTCCTTTAAATCTTGAAGAATTGTATGTGACTAATACCATGTTTGACATTCAATATTCCATATGCAAGTACAGCTATTCCTTTTGTCAGCCTAATCGCATCAAAGTAATAGATTTCACAGGCACTTCTATCGGGGGATGGGGGCAACTGGAAGGATTAAAGGACATAATGTATTTAAGTCTACAGAACACAAATACAACAATACTCAATATTGAAGCCTTTAACTGCAAGCACTGGCCAAAAATACAAACGTTACTTCTCGGAAATCTTGACCTTAGACCTACAATTGGAAAAACTAATAAATCATCAGTTGTCTTTCAGAACTGTTCAGAAATGATTTCCATTGATTTGGCGAAGACAAAATTGACAAAATTGCCTAAACAAACATTTCAAGACATGACAAATATTAAATACATTAATTTAAGTCAAAATGCTATCAACCAAATCGATTTTGATCTCAGTAATAATATGAATCTTACTCTCCTAAACTTAGCAGCAAACTTGATCAGTTATTTCCCCCTTTCTGTGATGTCACAGTTAGATTCAATTGCTATGCATAATGGTGAATTAGTAGTTGATTTAGAAGGTAATCCTTTGGTGTGTGGTTGCACACAATTAGAGTTCATTAAGTGGATGAAAACAACCCGTGTTGTTTTCAACAATTATGAATCATACAAATGTCTGCAAGGCACACAATATCACCTCATTCATGAAATGTTCATTGATGAGATGGAACTTATGTGTAAAATGACACTCATTACGTCTGTATCTTCTGTGAGTGGAACTTTTATTTTCTTTGCAATTATCTGTGGAATTGCTTACTATAAACGCCACAGGCTTGAATATTTTTGGCTGCTAAGTAGACAAATGACAAGAAGGCTTCTTACTAAAAAACGATCTGAGGAAGCTTTGTCATTCACATATCATGGCTTTGTATCATATAGTAGCTTAGATGATGTCTCTATCATTGAACAAATTCATTTCAAAATGGAGAGAGAGTTTGGATTGAACCTTGCAATCCACCAGAGAGATTTCATCCCAGGTGATTTTGTGATGGATAATATCATACATTTCGTGGAAGCAAGTCATAAGGTTATTATCATCTTGTCTAACAACTATCTGGCAAGTAATTGGTGCAAATTTGAATTTGAGCTGTCAAAGAATAAACGCCTGGATGCCACCTATGACACAATGGTTATGATTTTACTTCATGACATTGACGATTTAAATAAAGATCAGATTTCACCTAGCTTGAAGAGCTATCTAGGTCAGAAGACTTATCTTCGATGGCCTAAAGATTCATCACAGAAGCCAGCATTCTGGCTGAGGCTTAAAGAGGCTCTTGACTTTGAGATCAATGATTTCCACAACATCAATCAGAACGTCAGGCTAGAAAGGATGTGCGACTTGGAACATGACTCTGACCCTACTGCTGAGCAAAGCAATATCGAAGCGTTTGAAATCCAAAATAATGATGATACACAACATTTATTGTAAATGAAATCAATTGTGTCGTGGTAATCGGCATTTTTCTTAATTTACCTTTGAAGCCTAAATATTTTACATTTTTTAGGCATTTTAATGTATATCGTAAAGTAAATTGAAAACAGTTTAATCTATAATAGAGATACAATAAATAGATTTGATCTTAGTAGAACTAATAACTTTAAATCAACATAGAGTAAGATTCAATTGGTATAATGTAGAAAATGCTGAATGTAATATAATACCTGCATTTCTCATTATTTCCATTTTCTTTCCTTATTCAAATTTAGTTTTTTTTTCAAATGATAAGATTCAGCAAGAAGTAATATAATGAGCAAGCCATTAAAGCCATTGAATAATTTCTTTTTTCTTTTGATATTAACAATGTTTGTGTTACGATTGTTTAGCTAAAAGCACAAGGGTTTATATAAAATATGCAAATGCAAATCACATGAATCAATGACGTTTTACCCGAGTCAATTTAAAGTAGATAAATAGTATGATACAACCATTCTGATCACTTGTGATCCACTCGATTACGCTGGCTACCGAAACGAACCGTTTCGGTAACAAAATGTCGGAACCTCGAAGGTACGATTTTTCTTTTTTCCTTTTCACGCTTTGTGGGCAGAATTCTCACAACATTTTTATCACAAACGTGTGTCAGTAACGTAAGTTAAGTGAGGTATTAAATCGACGATTCCTGTGGTCTTCTGAACTATTTGTTCGCAAACATGTACATTTTCTTAAACATATTATACTGACACATGTTTGTTATAAAAATGTCAGAAATTTGGCACAACGCGTGGAATAAGGAAAAAATCGTACCTTCGAGGTTCGTTTCGGTAACCAGTGTAATCGAGTGGATCACCAGTGCTGATACTCATAACATCTTTCTGTTTCACCTGAAACATCCTCTGATATTATGAGGCATATTCTGTGATCTGAGCATTGGAAGAGTAATAACTGTTAATAAGTGGGATAGTTATCATGTAATCATTTACCTTAATATCAATACATAACATAATAGGCTTTATATTTAATAGTAGATATTAGGACAGACACAGGTACACAAGTTTTATGACTTTTTATTAAAACTGAATAATATTCCTGCTTTGAATGTTTTTGTAAGATACACCTTTCAATTTTCATAATATTATGATCTTAATTTATATTTTGAGGATATGTTAAACATCCTATGCAGACAGAACGCTTAAAATCACATTGCATGATGCGAGACTCGAACAGGAAATTAGAAACATGTTTGGCACCCATGTAGCACATTTTTTACTGCTTAATAAATGGTGAATGACAGTCACATTAAGTTCTACAAGTATGCAAATAGCACGACGTTCTGATATTTCAAGGTATCGTATTTGAAAATTAGTGATGGCGGTGATTGAAATTACGATGTAAAGACAAAACCACAACATAATATTTGTAAATTTCCTTGGAAAACTAAGAAATATACAACAAATATTGAAGTTTTCTAAACAGAAGACATATGTATGAATAGTGAGGCTTACAGGTTCAGGTTTTAAAGTTGAGGTTTACAATTTTGCCAGTTGACTGAATAGAGCAATTTACAATATCTTTGTTAGTCCGAAGAATATTTGTTTTAAAAACTTCTTTCAAAAGTGATATTCGATTGTTTTCTCATTTTAAATTTTATTCAATCAATTCTGCAAAATAATTTGTTTCAAATAGGCCTAATATTTTTCATTTTTTCCAAATACATTTTTTGAAATTTAGATTTTTAAATTTTTTTCAGTAGCGGTAACAAGTACTTGTCAATGGTGCATATTGTTCACTTTTAATTTACCAATCAGAATGGAGTATTTCAACTTAGGATCAAAGTTACTGTAATTAGTCACACAGAGTAAGGTAAGCTACCACCCTATGCAGCCTGTGCTATACGCACTGCTACCCACCTAATTACACAGACGTATCGTCGGTGTATCATGGCGGAACTTCCTCCGGGACTAGGTTTCGGTAAGATTTTTTTATTTCCCGATTTACACCTTCTTATAAGTCACGTTGTGGATAATAATTTGGCTCGAAGTTAAGGAAGATAGTCTATTTTGAGAATGTGTCGATGGTTTTAGGTTTTATATGTTAACAAAGACACAATTCACGTATTTAGTCCCTCACTTTTCTCACACTGACGAACGACCAATATCAGTGTAATATTGGCAATATTAATGCCGATCGTCAGTGTAAGAAAAGCGAGGGACTAAATACGTGAATTGTGTCTTTGTTAACATATAAAACCCAAAACCATCGACACATTCTCAAACTAGACTATCTTCCTTAACTTCGAGCCAAATTATTATCCACAACATGACTTATAAGTAGGTGTAAATCGGGAAATAAAAAAATCTTACCGAAACCTAGTCCCGGAGGAAGTTCCGCCATGATACACCGACGATACGTCTGTGTAATTAGGTGGGTAGCAGTGATACGAAAACAAGTGGTGTGGACTGTGGATATCATGTATTGATATCATATCCGCACCTTGTGCACATGGTATCTGCACCGCTTGTTTTCATATAGCACAGTCTGTAATGGGTGGGTACAGATCAGTAAAATAATACTTTGTTGTGAGTTCTTCAATCATACCCGATGTGTATCTATGTCATTACCTTTTACACTGGATTAGCCTTGCTTTAAAAGCAATTACAATTAAATCCATCGACCTGCATCGTCGACAACTTAGCACAGGGTAAGGGTGGCACACCCTTAGCACAGGGCATTGTTCTGTCCAAAGAGCCCTGCCCTAATGAGCTTTTGGATGCATTGGAAAGGAACTGTCATTAAGATAAATGAAACAAGATTAAGTTTTGGGAATTTGATAAATAACTAGGTGGCCAATTAAAAGCTGTCTGTTATGTGACATATCCACAATATGGACCTTTCCTTTTAAAGACTTACTATTTAAACTATTTTTTCTGTTTTGAAAACTTCGATCTGCTGTATATATTTTTTTTTCAAATTGAAGGTGGAATCTGATCTATAGGGGGTGACAAAATAACAAGCAACATGTATAATTGACCTACCAATCTATTCCTTACAATATCAAATACAATATCTCCCAAAAGATTCACAATATGTTATAAATTGGTGAAGTTATTAATGATTCAAAGTGCAAAAAGGGTGAAAATGTTTAGATTCTCTCAAATAATAAGAATGGTAACCATTCTTATAGAAAAATAATACATTATTGTAAAATTCTTTGGTTTTCCTGAAATAAAATGTGCACTTTGGGGATATTTGGGGAAATAGACATGACAAGGAATGACACGACCCAAAAATATTCTAAAATTGCTGCTCGCTAGATCTGATTCTCTCTTTAATGTCGAGAACACAGGACAAAAATGGATGAAACATTTGCATTGAAGGGCAAATGGGTATACCCAGGCAAAGATGTGTAATATTACCAAGTAAAATTGTTCATAGTGATCCTAAATAAATACGACAACGTTATGTTTTTTCCACTTTATCTATTTGCTTATCTAATGGAGTAATAATCAAATGGAGTCGAACACTGCTTACAAATGGAACTGGTTGTGAAAGAACAACGTATAATAACTTGACATTCAATGGCCATTAGTAAGGCGTAAAACATCTGTATGATAGTCACCTTCGAGTCGAATAAAATATAACCTAGCAAAGGGACCTGAAGACTGATGAAAAATGACCAATTGTATGACGATGACGTATGGAGTTTATATGATGATTCTTTTCTGTCCATGTACAGTAGGTAGGTACTGTTTTTGCCAAGCACTTTTTCATTTCTATTTGAAAAGTCAACAGTAAGTAAGTAAAACAATAACATGTTTGTTTCTTGTTATTTAGGTTTAAGATGGACAATGAGTATTTCCAAGCCGACATTTGTCAACAAGTACATAACTTCGTATTCTCAATACATAACTAGCCTACCTTCAGATATGTGTGTCTACCACGTATATATTAACACCAAAGCTGCTACCAATGCTCTTTCTGAATGTAAATTTCGCTTTTGGGACTGGGATGCGCCTGGTGGATCAGTCCAAAATGTATACTATAGATTGTAAGTATTAATTCACATATATTTAGAAAGTATGCCGTTTCAAATCGGATGGAACAAACATTATCGAATGGTGATAATTATTTTGTGTTCACCCTTTTTCTTTATAATTAGGACTTTCTTTATAATTGCAATTCGCTAAAAATACGTGTGCTGTTCATTTTGAGATATTGATTGAGCTTTATATTTGTAGTAAACCAAGGGAGATGGAACACGCAACAGCAAACGCAAGCATTTCATGTCCTAAACATGTGTCAAGAATTGAGATGCTTTCCAATTGGAATCCAATGTATATTCAGGAGATCATCTTGGACTACTACCTTTGTAGTGACCTTGGTATGTATTCTCGCTTGAAATATAAAAAAGGCTTGTCCATTGAGCATTTGGTTTGTTTGATTGTACAGTATATTTTGAGTTGAAAACTGTATGATTTACATTACAGGATTTCCATTGTTTCTTGATATCCATAATTATATTCTTTCTATTATTATATCAAAGCCTTGCTAGATTCTTTTAATATTCTCGTTTTTTTAATTTAGCGACCATGAATACAGAGATGATAGAATCAGATGTATATGAATACACTGGGCAGCGGAGGTCCAAAGTAAACTTTGGCTCATCCATAGCCTTCAATCAAGGCTACCAGACATCTGTGAGCTCCGTACCGGCTTGTGCATTAGCCTGTATCCTGGATGTTTGCTGTCAGTACTTTTCTGTCAACGTGACCTTGCTGCAAGAATATGATGGTAACAAGGCACCAAGTAGTTGTACATTGTGGGGTTATTTCGGCCATTCTGACTACTCCAAAGCGGACAGTCATTCAAAGATGTGGTCAAAAATTATCATAGCTTGATTTGACCCATACATGACTGGATTATATTCGTATTAATTAGGGGCGTCGATCTAAAATCTACAATTTCAGTAAAAAAGTCTGTATTGTATGTGTCTCAAAATTGTTGGCGGGGTGTCTGCCTCATGTCTGGCTACCAAAATGTCAGGGTTTCTAGACAGTGGATACCTCATTCCTAAATAATTCATCGCAAGACTTATTTCATCGACAACTCAATCCGAGACAACTCATCCCTAAGACATCTAATCCCAAAACAACTCATTCCAAGACAACTCATCCCAAGACATCTCATCCCAAGACAACTCGTCCCTAAGACAGCTTATCCCAAGACAACCCATCCCGAAGAAAACTCATTCCAAGACAGCTCATCCCCATGACATCTCATCCCAAGACAATTCATCCCTAAGACAAGATGTCTTAGGGATGAGTTGTCTTAGGGACGAGTTGTCTTGGGATGAGATGTCTAAGGTATGAGTTGTCTTAGGGATGAGTTGTCCTGCTGCCCATGCCAGGTATCATATCTATGAGTTGTGTGGTGCATGATGATGAAATAATGTGCTATTCAACAAAATGGCGTTATTTTAATAAACTGATATTTATATTAGGCAAAGTTACTTAAAAAAATTAATAATGTGTATTGATTTCTATCTGTATTGAAGTCTCATCAACAATAAACGTAGAACTAATGGATCCTTATAAATCATATCAATTTCATAATATAAAATGTGAAATATATTTGTTCTGCTGGCTGTTATGTAATTCAAACTATTATTATGTGCGATTAAGAATATTAAAACTATAACTATCTGTGTTCTAAAGAGAGAAGCTGCCAAAACATCGGAAGCTTTTATGCAATCGGTTTGACTACTGAGTCAAATAACTTAATTTATGATTTAACATTGCTATTATAAAATACATTTCCACTACATATTCGGGACTTCAAGGCATTTGAGAAAAAATGTGTCCAGAGTGGGCCAAAAAACAATACCCATGTAAAAGATGAACATCATATGACATATGCTAAATCATGCCATGCACTATATATCCTTTTAAAGATAAATCATTTCCTAACAATATGGCACCATCCGATTGAAAATCCGATGTTTCCGTGTGGAGTTAGAGGCTAAAATTGACACCAGGGGTGTCATGAGCGACTAAAATATTATTCACCGCGGATTTCCAAATAGAGGAAAATGGAGGGAAATTTGAACTTTGGCATTTTCAAAGATATATCTTTACATACATTTATACAAGTGCAAAATTCACCAATAATACTTAAATCGTTTTATTTAAATATCAATTTTGTATTATTCTTGAATAGATTCAAAATGATTCAGTCAAGCATATTGAGTCCAGCTGTGACTGCAATATGAAGGGATATTCTGGAATTTTTATTTTCTGAATTTTGGAAGCTCATGACACCCCTAATGTCATAGCCTCTACATGTAACGTCACAAGAAAACAAAAGTTTTTCGATCAGATGGTGTAATTTTGTTAGTAAATGATTTATTTTTAAAATGATATATAATACATGGCATGGTTTAAGATATATCATATGAATCATTCATCTTTAAACTTGGGTATTGTTTTTGGCCACCCTGTATAGGTAGATTTAAACCACTTTTTTGTGAAATACCCAGAAATAGCAATAATTAGCACATTGTGCAACAATATTATTACCAAATTTAAATACAATTTGTCAATTATTACTCTTTTTCATTGAATGTCACCACCTTAGTTTACCTCTCTATATAAACGGGTCAAATTTTATTTATAATGGGTGGACATCAATTAGTTAGTAGCCGGGACAGAACAAGTCATCAACCTATTTTCCTGATAACTTTTTCAATTCACAATCATTTTCATGAAAATTTTCACCGGATATTTAAAGCATTCCTAACATACAAAATATTGTGTATGTAAACTTCGCTAACAGCAATACATCTTACCTTCCTGTCAAAAAATTATTTAAAAAGGTCCCACGAATATCAAACTTCTGCTCTCTTCTACCGGGGGCTTTGTCTATACATATTCAAAATTCTGTCAAAGTGATATAGTATTTGAATCTAAATATCCGGGTACATATCATTGTCCCGCAATGAACTTATATGAATTGCGCAATAGGCCGCGACCAAATGCAAATGTAACAGTTGTTCTAAGGACACGCTGTTTGCAGCGTGTGTAATGTTATAAATACAAACACACATTTATAAGTTAACCAAACTGATACATTAATCCTGCAGCCATCACATACACGTGTAGATATTCTAAACGATATGGATTCAAGAGAAAGTTTAAAAACAGTTTTAGATGACATATTAGAATATTCTCCAAAAATAAATGCCAGCGGTGAATGGATATTAAACGAACTGGATGTGGAATGTATATGTATTGGAGCAGGGATTCTGGGCTGTGGAGGAGGGGGCAATCCACGAATAGGAAAACACAGGGCCTTGGAGGCACTCAAATATGGTAAACTTATCCGAGTAATTTCTCCGGAGAGATGTGCGAGATCAATGAGTGAAACTAGTCTCGTGATACCAGTTGCCTTTATGGGAGATCCTTCAGTACTAAAGGAGAAATTGAATAATAGTGGTTCGGAAACGTGTGATGCAATATCGGCCCTATTAGATATCTACTGCCATGGCGCAAGATGCCACAAAACAGGTAAAAATAGAAGCCTAAAAATATCAAAAGTGCCATGCAATTTTTATCGCACTTTACAAAAGTGCTATATTAACACAGGCTGGTATCGAAAGATTTGTCCGCTGTGACGGAGCATGTTCTTTTTTATAAAAACACTAAGAATACTTCACAATTTATTTTGTAACTCATATGTTTCATTATATCAAAGAAAATTACTTACTCCATACAATCGATATATCATTTTCGAGTAACCTTCACTTCTTTTTGAAGTCCCGTAACGCTAGGAGTAAAAGCCATTAAAAACGGCGCCAGAGTATCAAACTCTAAAATGTACCATCTCTTTTTTAACTTTTTAATGGCATGATATAGTGACACAATAATATTTACATATGTTTTCAGCATAGCTCTGAAGGTAATAATGAAATATTGATGTATTGGGTCTTTTTAATATTTTTATAAAAAATAATGCTTATTTTTTGTCCGCTTTGCCAGAGCAGTTGCAAATATGAACTGTGGAACTGCTCCATCACAGCGGACAAAAAATTAAAAATACCCCATACATCCAGATAGGATTTACACATTCAGAGTTATGCTGAAAAAATAATTATGTAAATATTATCGTCTTTCGATACCAGCCTGTGTTAACGTCGCCTTGGGCTGATGGGTGTGCGGGCGAGCGGGCGTGCGCCACATAAATCAAATCTTGTCATGTTGTCATCAAGAGAACCACTTACCCATTCACTGGTGATCCACTCGATTACGCTGGTTACCAAAACGAACCGTTTTGGTAACAAAATGTCGGAACGTCGAAGGCACGATTTTTCTTTTTTCCTTATTTCACGCGTTGTAGGCAGAATACCCACGACGTTTTTTCTCACAACGTGCATCAGTATCATATGTTTTAGAAAATGTACACGTTTGCGAAAAAATAGCTCAGAGGACAACAGAATCGTCGATTTAATTCCTCACCTAAGTTACATAAACGGTTTTTCGAAAAACAGTTAAGATCTGCACTTTTAACCCAAACCGTTTATGTAACTTAAGTGAGGAAGTAAATCGACGATTCTGTTGTCTTCTGGACTATTTGTTCGCAAATATGTACACTTTCTTAAACATATGATACTGATACACGTTTGTGTTAAAAAATGTCGTGGGAATTCTGCCTACAACGTGTAAAATAAGGAAACGAGAAAAATCGTACCTTCCGGATGTTCCGACATTTTGTTACCAAAACGAATCGTTTTGGTAACCAGCGTAATCGAGTGGATCACCAGTGCCATTCGACTTCACAATTTGCAAGATTTGACTTGTGCCAAAGTCTGATTAGGTTAAGGTGGCTTATAATGATTTTTATTTTTGGTAAAACTACGATTTCTCTGCACCACGATGTCCAATCAAGATCATTCGAGTACCTACGTTTGGGCATCCGGGAATGACAACGTCCAAGGTTTGGACGCTATATTGACGTAGTTTATGACTGAAGTGAATCCCGAAGTGAATCACATAACTTGACTCGCATTCGCGAATGCAAATAACGGCTACCTGCTATCGGGTTATTGTTGTTTGAGGGCAAACTCATTTAACTATGATTAGTACCTGCCGTGCTTTCCGTTAGCTGCCACCTCTCGCTTCAAACCTGGTCGTTGACCTAAATGACGGGTTAATCTACCAATTCGACCGAGCGGCTTTAGCATAATCGATCCTTTTATTTGCATAAAAAGTCATGTAATCACGGATCACTGTTCGTCGACTGACGGGTTGTTCGTACTTACAACTTCGAAACGACGGGTTTATTTATGAAATCAAAAGGTTAATCCGGTAGCCGCTATTTGCATTCGCGAATACAAGCTTAGATCCCTGTGTTATATGTTTGTTTGTTTGTTTGTTTGTTTGGTTGGTTGCATAGCGATTTACAAATTATTGAGTGCTATTGTTGACAGGTGTTTTGTATAGAAAACCTCGTGCCTCGTACCCACGTACACACGGACACGGGGCATGATACAGACTTTGGAGGGTCCAATTTTTTAAAATATTAAAATTATTCAATCTCCTGTACTGTATTTTACATGCATTGATAATGCAATCGTAGGTCTACGCGTATGTGATCTAACATTTGCCTGCTGCAGTTTGTAGTGTGGTAAGATTGGCATGAGCGTGTTGAAAGTCGAATGGAATTGTTTTTTCAAATATGGCAACTAGTCAACTGATCACGTGACCTTCTCTTCCAGAATATTTTCTCATTTTTCAATCATAGGTTTCGCCAAACTATAAACGAATATAATGAAAAAAACTGTTTTATTAAGATTAATAAGAGATCAATCGTTTCTGTGCTCTCGTACGGGAATATGAACGAATATATCGTTTAAAAAATAGGTGTGAAAATCCCAATGTTAAACTTATGGGGGAAAACATGGGATATATTTTGACCTTATAAGGAAAGATTTTCGCGTCTGCTCTTTTAAAGAGGGAACAACGATCTGCTCAATTGTAAAATTATTTATCTTTGCGCTATTTTATCCAAAATAGTGCAATTGAAATGCTCGTTCACTACAGGAACAATCTACACTAAAATCGTTATTTGCAGGGTAATTCAAGGAAAACGTCAAAAAGCTGTCACTAGGCTATATTTCCACATTTAGATTGTATGACATCTTTGTCTCTATTGGTGTTCTCATTCTGGTACTCATCACATATTTCTCCCTTCAACAAGAAACATGCAATCTATAGAGAAGCTAATAGAAGGCCATGATATCTCATGATGAGTGTACTACATTTTAAACTAATATAGCGTAGATATTCCCTTTGAACGAGCCTTTAAATGGCACTGTTTTGACAAACAATAAAAAAACAAATTCATGAATAACAAAGGACCATATGCATATTCCATTGGGATCTCCCCATGAGAAAAAAATAATTCATCTGATTTTTCAAAATGAGTATTCTGTTTTAATTATTACATTTATTTGCACACTAATATCTTGTTGACCTATATTCAGCACTGTATTGATGTATAGGCCACTTATTAGGGTCATAATTCAATCATGAAGTGTAGAGGCATAGATTCCAAACCAGGAAGTATTTCTGTGTCTGTCAAAATCCATTTGCATCCTACGCATCCTTACATCTTATCCAAATATGTTACTACATAATGAAATATTATAGGAATATCCTATGGCTTTGAAAAAATATCACTTATATCCATGAGTGGATATTGATATCTTGGCGAGTGAGTGAAGATACTGATATCCATGAGTGGATATAAGTGATATTTTTGAAAAACCATAGGATTGTCCGTTTATCCCATGGGGAATTATTATCCAGCGAACATTGAATAGTCAGATAAATTTCAACAAGATTTATTTATTTCAACATTTTGATTGCAATAATTCAACGAACGTCATCAACGTGACGTAAGAGGGTGGTTTGTATTTAATGCAAACGCAGTAAAAACTAGATCCAAATAAAAAAACATATAAAGAATCGTTTTGCTGAATTAATAATAAAAATTGAAAAAATCAAAACCATCGAATATCACTTTTGAAACCATCGAATATCACTTTTAAAACCATCGAATATCACCTTTCAAAAAGTGATATTCGATGGTTTGGGAATTGTTTGCTAAAATATGATATCTTCAACCACGTATCAATTATATCTTCACGTGATATTCTATATCCTTGTAACCATGGGATAAAATAGTATATTCTTTGGTTTAACAAAGTTGTATAATTTTTGATAAGTGTAAAAGTTGTTTTTGGAGCATTTTTCTATAGCCATTTTGTAGGGGAAAAAATGATGAAAAAATGTACAATCTTTTAATTTTAAGTATGACCTGAATCGATTGCAAACTTCATATTTGCACTTGTGATGAGATAAACCATTTGTGTCATATTGTGAAATTATTAAGTTTGCAATCGATTCAGGTCATAGTGTATTTTTGGTATTTTTGTGATAATTAATGGAAACCAATGGCCTCTATTGGGATCTGCTGATATCCTCATGTTAAGTCAATGATGCACAGCCCCATGTAAGTCAATACAACCTTACTGAACTAAATGGCCCCTATCTCAACCTATGTGTGCCCGAGCACTTTAATATTTTCCAAAGAGTTATATGACATTCTATTCTTCATGTTACACCTAAGAATTATTCATTTTGACCATAGAGGGATTTGCCAATAAATGCACTTCTTCCTTTATAATTTAAAAATGTTAAAAAGTGAACCCTCCAAAGTTTGTATCACGACCCATGTACGCAGGTACGTGGGTACGAGTTACGATTTTTTTATACTACTTCTGCCTGAAACTGAATACATATCAGATAATAACGGGCAAAATTGAAATCTTTAACGTGGAGCAATTGCTATAAAACATTGACATTAAAATTGTAGACATACAATCAAATAGAACTGGTGTACGATACATAGATGATTATAAGCCAAATGGATTGACTGAATTAAAACCTGGTTCCACTGGGGATATAGTTGCACTAATGGCTGTTGAAATAGGGGGTGTCAATTCAACAGAGCCGCTTATCAGTGGGGCTGAACTAAATATTCCAGTGGTAGACTGCGATGGAATGGGCCGTGCTTTTCCAGAATTACAGGTTAGGTAACTACTGTATAACTTACATAATGTTTGAAGTGTGTACGTAGAATGCTTTGAATCCGGCTGTTGAGTATCAGTTTCACGCTTTAAATTATGTGTTTAGATACAGTATCATCAAATAAAAAGTATGTATGTATATTATTAAGATATTTTGTTAAGAGATGATATGAAAAATTAGTCCGCCAAGGATCTCTTGACATCCAGCAGATTGCTACTTCACTAAATTTTTCATGAGAATCGCATCAGTCATGTCTTGCATCCCAAGTCTCTGCCATCATTTGAGTTCCGGTGCTTTTCTATGGCCATTTAAAAAGGAAATTAGCGCAACAGATTTTGGACAGTCATATGTTTGATTTTGGCCATTTTCTAGGGATTTAAACAGGTGCATATGTTAGGCCAATGCATTACCTCAAGGAAAATCACTTCTAGAGATGATAAAATAATTTCGACTTTGAGACAGGGTAGATGCAAACAAACCACCCAAATGTTTTTTCTGAAATGTCTTCCTGATTTTCAACTCCTTCCATCCCTGCTTTTTTAATTTTTCTTGCATCAATATGTTGCGTTTTGACACACAGTTAATCCCTCAAAAGGAATAAGTGATTCCTTTAAGATAAAGTAGAAAACAATATTTCCCATGTTATTTTCCCATAGGGAAAATCATTGCTTTCAGCTAAGTTTGGTCACCCATAATGTGTATCTTTAAATCCCCTAGAGGAATCACTTATTCCTTTCAAGTGGTTAACTGTGTGTCAAAACGCAACATATTGATGCAAGAAAAATTAAAAAAGCAGGGATGGAAGGGGTCGAAAATCAGGAAAACATTTCAGAAAAAACATGTGGGTGGGTTGTTTGCATCTACCCTGTCTCAAAGTTTAAATTATTTTATCATCTCTAAAAGTGATTTTCCTATAGGTAATGCATTGGCCTAACATATCTTATTGTTTAAATCCTCAGAAAATGGCCAAAATCCAACATATGACTGTCCAAAATCTGTTGCGCTAATTTCCCTCCTCCTTTCTATTTGGGGTTGGTATTTCGGTTCACTAGATGTACATAATAGATTGGGTAGGTTCATATTGCTATCGTTGAACTTACTAGTATATATTTTAAATTATTAAATAAACTAAACTTACTATTTCAGGCCTCTAGACTTCCATCAACGCGAACATCAGTTCTAACGTCGCGAACTACATTCATTGCACTCGAACCAAGATTCTCATATCGCAAACGTAAAATCTTTAGTCGCGCACTACTATTTCCTGTGTACAGGTGGTTCATAAGCATGGATCCCTGTGCACGAGTGGAGAAATATGTTCGGGAGCAAGGAAATAGTGGTGCGCGACTAAAGATTCTACGTTCGCGATGTGAGAATTGTGGTTCGAGTGTAAGGAACGTAGTTCGGAACGTCAGAACTGATGTTTGCGTTGATGGAAGTCTAGGAGACCTGTATTATATTGGTTTAGATGTATACTCCGACAATATACGGTTTGCCTTGCTACCCTGCAACACTGGCTGATGACAAGGGACAGAGGGCTGTAATCATTGAAGCTACGTCTCCGAAACATGTAGAAGACCACTTGAGAGGAGTCTGTGTCACTATGGGGTAATCACTTGACTTACATTATCGGCCATTTAAACGTAAATGGTATTATTTGAGAATAGTTCTGTGCTTTTAAACATAAAATATGACAATGGGACAAAATCAAAACCCTTTTTTGACAAAATGGATTATTGTCCAAACTTAGAATTATTACCTTATCGCAGTAACACCCCGTGTAATGAGAGAGGACACAATATCAATAATGCCTTGAAATGAAAGGACATCATGCAGAAAAATGATAAGACATCAATGCATCATTTTTTATCGAATTGTGTACATTAGAGTACTTGTGCACTTTAAATAAACTTGCAATCTCTCCGTTCGAGTGGGTCACCAAGGGTATGTAGACCAAGTATGAGGCCCAAATGTCAAACAGTCTAGGAGGATATGTCCAGCCAGCAACCAATCAACCGAGCAAGCAACTATTATACCATGAAAGCAACCAGGAAACCAAGCAATTAATCAAACAACCATCCAACTTAGCAAGCAATTAGCCAACCAAACAAGCAAATAGCTAAGCGAGTAACCAACCAAACAAACAAAATATACAACCAATCAACAAAGCAACCAACCAACCAACCAACTGCATTCGCTGTGAAAACATATAGGCACTGCCTCTCTTGAAACAATGCAACACATCTGACTGGTAAATTTTCATTCACTGTGAATCATTCACAATAGATATGTCTTCTACCACAGATCATAGTCATGCATCAAATAGGCGAGGTAATATTGCCTCACCATAATATGACATAAAATCATTCATGCGTTTTATTCAACTGAAACTTCAGAAATGCAACTGTAGTTATACAGTATTACTTCTTTGGCCTTAGTGCCATCTTCTTACACTAAGCTACTTTGGAGACATCAATGGTATTAGTAGTACTAGAATATGATCGGTGAGTTTGCTAAAATGTCTCAGAAGAAACAGTAACACGAAAAAAATAATAAAAAATAATAAAAAAAGATGACTCTTCGATCTTATTATTTTTTGTCTGAAACAGTAATTTTCACGAAGCCTTTGGACGATATTTAGAAGCTACATACAGTAATTTCAATATTTGATCATCATTTGGTCCAATAATTTTATTGCAAAGGGTACAATCATGAAAAATAAACTTTAGGTACGTTCATTTTTCTGCTGAATGTCCTTTCATTTTAAGGCGACGTCGACATACTGTACCCCCTCTCATTACATGGGGTGAATCTTAACATTATAGAAGTTTAGCCGGTTTTGCAAATACACCATTGAGAAAAGAGGATGTACTCCACAAAACAGTGCAGCACTCGACTAGTAGGGCCTGGCGTTTAGGGCATGCTGTACTGAAAGCCAGGGCACAGAAGAAAGACGCATTCCAAGCTATATTGGATTGCGAGAATGGAAAGTGCCTTTCCAAAGGAAAGGTTTGTGGACCCAAATTATATTATGGGATAACTTTTCAACAGATCGAGGCTCCATATACTTTATCACAGGCTGGTATCGAAATATTTGTGACGGGGCATGCTATTTTTCATAAAAACACTAAGAATACTTCACGATTTATTTTTTAACTCATATGTTTCGTTATACCATACAAAATTACCTACTCCATGCAATGGATATATCATTTGCGGGTAACTTTCACTTCTGTTTGAAGTCCAATTACGCTGGGAAGAAAAGCTATTGAAAATGGCGCCGGAGTATCATACTTCAAAATGTACCATTTCTTGTTTAACTTTCTAATGGCACGATATAGTGACACGATACTATTTACACATGGTTTAAACATAAATATGAAGGTATAAATGAGATGTTGATGTATTTGGTCTTTTCAATTCTTTTATAAAAAAATGTTTAATTTTTTTGTCCGCTGTGACGGAGCAGTTGCAAATGTGAACTGTGATAATGATCCGTCACAGCGGACAAAAAATATTAATATTATTTTTTATAAAAAAAATTAAAAAGACCCAATGCATTAATATCTCATTAATACATTCAGAGTTATGCTGAAAACATATGTTAATATTATCGTGTCACTATATCATGCCTTAAAAAGTTAAAAAAGAAATGGTACATTTTAGAGTTTGATACTCTGGCGCCGTTTTCAATAGATTTTACTAATAGCGTTATTGGACTTCAAACAGAAGTGAAGGTTACACGCAAATGATATATCCATTGCATGGAGTAAGTAATTATCTTTGATATAACGAAACATATGAGTTAAAAAATAAATCGTGAAGCATTCTTAGTGTTTTTATGAAAAATAGCATGCTCCGTCACAGCGGACAAATATTTCGATACCAGCCTGTGTTTATGGTTTGGAGCATATATATCCATTTTCAAAAGCTTTGATAGGCAAAAGAGATTTGGTGTTGGCAATATGATATAATACATACCTTAATATGGCCTGAGACTAACATAGTCTCAGATATGGCATATCACCTTTCTTGTAGCACCAACGAAAATTTATGAAAATCGAACCCTGCATGTTGTGTGGGTAGGTTGAAATCCACCTAGGTAAGGGCGGTAAATTACACCATCGATCCCATCTCTGTACATGATGATGTGAATTTACTTACTTTACTCTCCTAAGCCTATTTGCATTTCAGATAGTTAGTGTGGAGAGACGAAGTGAGGGTGGATTCACCAGGGGGAGTATGACAGTCCAGGGTAAAGACGAGTTCCAAGGCACGACACTAGTTATTAAGTTTCAAAATGAAAACAATTTAGCCACAATGCACCATCCAAATGGTCAGAAAGAGGTATAATATTAAGCACTTTTGCCAATAAATCAAATTATTATGCACCTCATTGAAATACTCAAATCTGATTGGTTAAGAGCTGCAGGGTATATTGCCATACTTGGCAGCAAGATCTCGTTCTATCCAGTATTGAAGCAACGAGATCTCCAACCATCCCGTATGCCAGAATACCTATCCTCGAAAAAAATACTAGGCTCGGCTTCTGTTTTAGTAGACCCATTCTTTAAAATAAAGTATTTCTCAAGGGAGGTGCATAATAAAATAAATACTGGATGACCATGAGGTGGATATGCCACAATACCTATTCTCGAAAAAAATACTAGGCTCGTCTTCGCCTCGCCTAGTATTTTTTTCCTCGGATAGGTATTCTGGCATATCCACCTCATGGTCATCCAGTATTTGTTTAATACGAGCGTTCAGTAAACAATGAAATTATAAGCGAAATAGCGAGTGTTTTTAAATTGCACAAAAATTGCCAAATTAACCATTATTGACATTCAACAATTGTCTTTAGAAAATGATCCCAAATAAACAATTGCAAAAGTACTCAAAAAATTAATTTAATGTATCATTTTGCAAGGGACTCGGTACGGCCCTGTCAACTTTTAAAAACTCACATGTTTTAATGTAAAATGATATAATTAGAGGTTATGTCACTATCGTGGCATATATGCCCGAGGTCTCAGTGATATATGGCCCGACCTTGGGAGGGACATTGATCTCTGAGAACCGAGGGCATATGTGCCACGATAGTGACATAAACGATTTATAACATATCTATGATGATGTAGACTGGTCAGAGAGCACCATTTTCTTATAGAATTGACAAACAAATGGTTTGAAAATGATTGAAATGAGTTTAGAAAAATTGCTCGCGCAGTTTTATCTTCGATTGATTGGTTATGACGTCAGTGCCTTGACCAATCAGAAAGTTAGCGGGCGCGGGCTTTTCAAAACTTATATTGGCCCGCTGTCTTGTGTACACTTTGCACTATACATCATCATAGGTATGTTATAATAGGATTTATTTGTACTGATGCCATATTAGTGCCAAAGGTGTATCAAACAATAAAAAATTAGAGTAAAGATATTTAAAAGAAAAATAAATAAAATATGACTTATAATATATATAATATATATTGATTTTTTTGTTAACAGATTATGGTTTGCGCCCCCGATTTGATATGTATTGTGGATTCAAAAAATGGCGAACCAATAATGAATGAAGAAGTGCGCCATGGTCTACACGTGGCAGCTTTTGGCATACCAGCACACCCGTTGCTTCTCTCTGAGCGAGCATTACAATATGTTGGTCCACAGGCATTTGGCTACTCAAAAGAGGAAGTGAAGTTTAAGCCTATTGGTGGTTATAAGGACTCTGGATCCATGGCTTTGGTGTAAAACTGTACAAACCAGTGTTTTCACGTGGATATGTTGAACTTGAAAAGTAAAAGACTGTTTACTGACTGTACTATTTACAATATTCTTTTTATTGTCGTTTTCCAGTATAGGTTTTATATTTATATTTAGGTGCAAATAGTTCGCTCAACTAATTATAAAACAAACGCAATGGGTCACGCACCATTCCATTAACATCAGAAATGGGGGCTTTTTATTCAAGTATAAAGGGACATGAGCTTGGCTTTCATTGTTGTTAATAGTTACGCTGGTCAGTATCAAGCGACGGTTACTGCCGTAACCTTCGCATCAAAGATGGCGGATTGTAAGTGTAGATTTCGATATATTTGGTTTTCATCTAGTTAAGCTACCGTGAAATCCGCCATCTTAGAGACGAAGGTTATCGTTACCTTCGCTTGATACTGACCAGTGATTTAGCAGAACAGTTCGAGCGATTCGTGTACAACACCAGGGCGTTGCATTCTGGTCTCAAAGATAAGTCGGGAGAACATGTACAAATATATATCAAACACCTTGTCTCATGCAACCATGATCATCTCATAAACATTAGATACTATTCGGCAGGGGGACGTGAGTTAATTAATCAATTAATTAATCAATTATTTTCATAGAGATCCATCGAGTGAGGTTGCAGTTATTGAGTTATGGGACATGAAGATGCATTATTTGTACTACATTAGAATTATGAACGTTAGATCATAAAATTAACATAGAAATAAACGTAGTAGAAAATGCAATAAGTATCCAATGTACTTCATTTATCATTTAATTCACATGGCTAAATAAACTATTCACTTAAAAATGTATTACTCCTTGATCACTGAAAATAAAGTTGTGTTACATATTTTATATGTTCTATGTATACTCGTACATCTATACATTTATAGCTCAGAAATATCTATGATAAAACACATGATGAAACAGACGCTTATCCGCCATGAACGGTTTGGCGTCTACGATAAGGCCCGAAGGTAGCAGATTTATCAATGGTTTGACTGTTTTGAGACGCCAATCCAAACTCTGAAATCACGATAGCGTTTTCACGGAAATGATTGCATTTACAATATGGTACAGTTAAAGGACGGTATCGTATACAGTTGGACGGCACATTGCCTTAACCCATCAGCTTTATGACGTGCACTTCCGCGTGGGACTATATCTTTACAACGGGAATTTCAAGTTTTTGTCAGTGTAGACATAAAAAGTTGCGGTCCTCTTACTCGCACAGTTTTTAATATTTTCATTTGAAACTTGCAGGAACGGTGCTTTGAATCTAGCTCTCTACTCTTTGAAAACGTCATGTAGAATCAAAACAGTTTAACTATTTATTTTTTGTCGTGAAAATATTATTTTTTTAGTTTATTTTTATTTTACAACTTTTTGGGAAAAAATGTAACAAATTTTTATTTCTTGTCATATTTATCCGATATTTTGTCATCGTGAAATTCGAGATTCCTTTTAATGATGGTGCAAATTTCATAACAATTGATGAATTTTTATTATCAGTGTTATGTTTTCCAAAAACGGTGTACCACTGTGCATGTTTCTTTAATTGACGGCACATTTGCCTTTAATTGGGCGAACGTACAGGTCCGGACGCAATAATCTTTATTTGATTTAATACACTCAAAAATAAAGTTTGCTATCAAATCAGAATGTTCATAAAACATAAACCTTGCTTTTGTTTTCCCAATTCTAAAAGCAGGCCAAATAAACTATGATAAGCGTTTGACTCTCGAGACTACAGAACTTGAACTTGAACATACTAAAATCGAAGTTACCTATGGTTACGCTTGTAAAGTTAATTATATGTTTAACGGCGTGCTGAGTGAATGTATCTTATCAAATTTGTGACATACCCATAAAATCGTAGATCACAATTCTAAGTTTAAATGTAATTTGGATTCGTAAGAAGTATTTCTGTTTTAAACTTACCTTTGCTGTCTGAAAAATATCAATATTCATAGACGGGGATGTTGAAACCTATATTTCCTTTGAATGACCTGCATTTGTACTACGAAATGATCCTGTGGAGAAAAGTTGATGAATTCCAAACAGCTAGTTCTAGCAAATCTACTAGTATAAGCTTACTTTCTAAAAGTATTTCAATGTTAAAAATATCTATTGATATGTTTCATTTTTAAAATGATCTTTTGCTTCCCTTAACTTATGCGTGTGACTTAATGAAGAATGCTGTTTACCACATCAAACTTAAGATGTAAACTTGGCAATTACTCGATACCTGTTATAACGCGATTTTCTTTCATTTTCTACAAAAATGGTATGTTTTCGAAGAGTCACTTATGTTAATCTATGACCATGGTATGATTGAAAATGAAAGAACTGAACCAAGTATTGTCGACTCGGTTGAATCATAAGTTTTATTGTGATTGATTTAACCTCTTCTTGAATTTTAAAACTTTTGTCCGAATTACATCTGCTATGGAATTAAAGTTCAAATATACCTCAGAATTGCTTATTGAATTAACCTAGCAATTAATTTGAAAATAATTCTTTATATAGGTTATATATCATAGATCATAGATAAGTAAAAAATAAAATGTGTTTTGAAAGATGAATTGGTAACAAACGTTTTCGTACACGTGCCATTCTTCACCTTCAGCCCACTTAAAGCACGAAATCCCGTATGACGTAATATAACGAAAATGCGCAGATAATTGATATTTTCCTTAATTTTAATTCAACTCACATTGACCTTTCTTATTTAGAACGTGTTTAAAGTTCTCATGTTAAGAAAATAAATATGTGGAAAGGCAATGGTTTAAAGCTTATGAAAATGTCAAAATCATAATTCAGTTTTTAAAATAAGATATTGACATGCATTCACGCCCATGTGACATTATCTCTTTTTGTGCGATTCAAGCATAAAAATCTCATTACAGTTATACATATGAACCAATCTTAGCCATGCCTTTCTAATAGAAGGAACTAAATTTGAATCAAAAAATAATTCTGTGTAAAGATGATTCCCCATAGATATAATAAATGTCAAAAATGTCAAAAAAATTATCAAAAATTAAATACTCACACGCTTTTAAGCACACTGACCTTTTCCAGTTTTGCTCATTTCATTTACCTTGAAAACCAAGGAGACAGAACGTAATTGCTATATACAACCTTGATACGTGTACCAAGTCTATAATTGCATTTTCTCATGGAAGGAACCAAGCAAAAATTATAAAAATAATTCTGCGTAGAGGTGATGCTTCACAAATAATATGAATGTCAAAAAATTAATTCATTTCTTCAAAATTAAATACTGACATGCATTTACGCACACATGACCTTTTCTAGTTTTGCTTATTTCATTCAGAGACTGGACGCAATTGCCAAATACTTCTTTGATACGCGTGCCAGGTCTATAATTGCATTTTCTCATGGAAGGAACCAAGCAAAAATTATAAAAATAATTCTATGTTAAGGTGATGCTTCACAAATAATATTAATGTCAAAACTTTAATTCATTTCTTCAAATCCAAATACTGACACGCTTTTACGCACACGTGACCTTTTCTCCTTTTGCTCATTTTATTTATCCTAAAAATCAATGAGCCTTAATACATTGTCCGATACTTTTTTAATACGTCTCGGGTCTAAAATTGCAGTTTATCATGAAAGAAATCGAACAATTATTATAAAAATAATTTTGTGTAAAGGTGATGTTCTTCATATCATATAAACATCAAAATTGTAATTCATTTATTGAAAGTTTAATATCCACATGCTTTACCGCACACATAACCCTTTCCCCTTTTTTCCATTTCATCTCTCTTAAAAATCAGTGAGCCTGAACTCATTGCTTAAATAATTTTTGATATGAGTCAGCTGCAGGTCTAAAATTGCATTTTATCATGAAACAAAACGAGCAATCATTATGAAAATAATTCTGTGTAAAGGTGATGTTCCAAAGACAATATATACGTCAATTTGATAATTCAGTTACTCAAAATGAAATATCCACATGCTTTTACGCACACATGATAAATTTTCTGAATGACGCTACTTTTTGGATTCAACCATGCATATAACGTCGTAAAATACACATTTCTACCGAAATTATGCCCAGCCGTTTTCGCAGAAAATGTAACAAATGAAGGCATTTTATCGGAACTGATTAATATTTGGTACTTATAAAATATCGTATTTACTTTAACTTTTAAGCGATTCAGACATTTAAAAAAATGATGTTTAATCAATGTTAATTTCGCACGAATATAGGGTACAAAATGAGTGAAAGTCTCACGTGTTTGATTGCATTTTACTCCCATTCATGTGCATTTTTCTAACATTAAAATGAGATAGTTCGAAAGAAGAGATCAGTAGAATTCTATCCCTCACTTTCATTTTCAAATGTTTAAATGTTTACCATTTCAATAGACCTCATAAAGATGGTAGCCAACGGACCAGAAACAAGTAGTGCGATGACGTCATATATCGCTACACCACTTTGATATAAAGTTTGGTAAACAACAATGGGTTTTTTCAATGTGCCGTCCTACTGATAGTACCGTTTTAGCTATATATGGTACCGAATGATTTGGGGAAAGGGCGTTGTGACGATTTTCTCTTCTACCTTTTCAACAGCGCCATCTTTGGAGTATTCCTGATTGTAAATTTCATAACGTATCAAAGATTGTCCATAATTCTATAAAACTATTCGGAATACATCATGCTACCTTTAATATTTTTGATCAACTGGTTCATTACCTTACATGAATGAATTGTATTCCCGGAGAATGCTCGACTGCATGCAAACAATAGATATAACACGTGGACATTTTGACGATAATTGATATATATTACATTTCTGATATTCTTCCAAATACTTCAAATGCGTCGTATTCATTGATGTCAGTGAGAGTAATTATGTTGTTATTTTAACACAGCACAAAGGTCATTTTCCTATACTATTGTCGGTCATTGCCTATCAAAAATTGTTTAAAACACTTATAATACTATTATATATTTATTTAATTATTGTGATGTTTGTAGTGTACAAAAATGAAAAGTTCAATAATATTGAAGAAATAAAAATATGCTTTCAATAGGGGTATGTCCTGGGGCTGGGGGGGGGGGTGTAGGGGTATAACCCCTCAATAACGGGCAG